CCAGGCTCAGTCTCACAACCCCAAGATCATGACCTGAGCCAAAATCAAGAGCCAGAGGCTTAACCAACTGAGCCACCCAGGTGCCCCTTGAATTTATTAGTTCTAATAAGATTTTTTTTTTTTTTGGTGGCATCTTTAGGGTTTTCTACATATAATATCATGTTATCTGCAAATAGTGATCATTTTATTCTTCCTTACCAATTTGGATGCCTTTTATTATTTTTTTCTTGCGTAATTGCTCTAAGAGTTACAGTACTGTGTTGAAAAAAACTGGCAAGAATGGGCATCCTTCTCTTGTTCCTGATCTTAAAGGCACTGTTAAGTGTGATATTAGCTGTGGGCTTGTCATATTATGACCTTTATATGTTGAGGTATGTTCCCTCTTTTTTGAGAGTTTTTATCATGAAGAGATGTTGAATTTTTCTGTATCTATTCAGATGACCATATGATTTTTATCCTTCATTTTGTTTATGTTGTGTATCTTGATTGATTTATGGGTATTGCACCATCTTTGCATCCCTAGAATATATCCCACTTGATGGTGGCATATGATCCTTTTCATATATTGTTGAATTTGGTTTGCTAATGTTTTGTTGAGGATTTTTGCATCTGTGTTCATTAGCGATATTGGCCTGTAATTTTCTTTTATTGTGGAATCTTCATCTGGTTTTGATATTAGGGTAATATTTGGCCTCACAACATGAGTTTGGAAGTTTTCCCTCCTCTTCTGTTTTTCAGAAGAGTTTGAGAGGATTGGTATTAATTCTTAGGATGGGTAGAATTCACCAGTGAAACCATCTAGTCCTGGACTTTCATTTGTCGGGAGGTTTTTTATTACTGATTCAGTCTCCTTACTAGTAATTGATATATTCAGACTTTCTATTTCTTCATGATTCAGTCTTCTAAGGTTGTACGTTTCTAGGAATTTTTCCTTTTAGGTTGTTCATTTTGATGATGTTTGTATTTCTGTGGTATCAGTAATGTCTCCTTTTTCTTTTTTTATTTTATTTGAACCCTTTCTTTTTTTCTTGATGAATCTAAGCTTAGTTAATGGTTTGCCATTTTTACCTTTTCAAGCTCTTAGTTTCATTGATCTTTTGTATTGGTTTTTTAGTTTCTCTTTCATTCATTTGTACTCTGATCTTTGTTATATCCTACCTTCTACTAACTTTGGGCTCTTCTTTTTCTAGTTCCTTGAGATGTCATTTATTTGAGATCTTTCTTGTTTCTTGATAGAGGCCTTTATTAGTATGAGTTACCCTCTTAGAACTACTTTTATTGCATCCCATAAATTTGGGGATATTGTATTTTCATTAGTCTCAAGGTATTTTTTTAATTTCTCTTTTGGTTTTTTTTTCTTTGACCCATTGGTTGTTCAGTAGCATGTGGTATAATCTCTACATAGTTGTGAATTTTCCAGTTTTCTTCTTGTATTGATTTTTAGTTCCATACCATTGCAGTTGGAAAAGGTACTTGATATGATTTTAGTCTCCTTAATTTATTGACTTGTTTTGTGGACTAAACTATGATCTATCCTGGAGAATGTTCCATGTGTGCTTGAGAAGAATACATTGTCTGTTCCTTTTGGATGGAATATTATGTATACATCTATTAAATCTATATGGTCTAACATGTTATTTAAGGCTAATGTTTCTTTATTGAGTTTCTCTCTGGATGATCTATCCATTGATGTAAGTGGTACATTAACGTCCCCTACTATTATTAGTTTGCTATTTCTGCCTTTGGTATGTTTTTTGGTTTTGTTTTAATTCTTCTTTTTTTTCTATTTATTTATTTTAGAGAGAGCTGGGGAAGGTCAGAGGGAGAGAGAATCTTAAGCAGGCTCCATGCCCAGCGCAGAGCCCAATGCGGGGCTCCGTCTCACAACCCTGAGATCATGACCTGAGCTGAAATCAAGAGTCAGACACTTAACCAACTGAGCCACCCAGATGCCCCTCCCTTTAGGTATGTTAATATTTCCTTTGTATGTTTTAGTGCTCCTGTGTTGAGTGCATAAATATTTACAAAAGTTATATCTTTTTGTTGAGTTGAGTCCTTTATCATTATGTAATGTCCTTGTCTCTTATTACAATCTTTGTTTTAAAGTGTTTTTTTTTTAAAGATTTTATTTATTTGAAATAGAGAGAGTGAGCACAAGCAGGGGGAGAGGCAGAGGGAGCAGCAGACTCCCCGCTGAGCAGAGAACCCAACACGGGGCTTGATCCCAGGACCCCGAGATCATGACCTGAGCCGAAGGCAGATGCTTAACTGACTGAGCAACCCAGGTGCCCCTGAAGTGTTTATATATATATATAGCTACCCCAATTTTATTTTGGTTTCCATTTGTGTGGAACATCCTTTTTTATCCCTCTACTTTCAGTCTGTGCGTGTCCTTACATATGAAGTGAGTTTCTTGTAGGCACCATGTGGATGGGTTTCATTGTTTTTATCCATTCAACTACTCTCTGTCTTTTGATTGGGGAATTTAGTCCTTTTATATTTAAAATAATTATTGATAGGTATGTACCTATTGTCATTTTGTTCATTGTTTCCTGGTTGTTTCGCAGTTTTTGTCTCTTTCTTTATTCTTCTCTTGCTGTCTTCCTTTGGGCTTAATGACTTTATTTAGTGGTATGCTCAGGTTCCTTACTTATTATCTTCTGTGTATCTATTATAGGTATTTGCTTTGTGGTTACCATGAGGCTTGCATATAACATATTCATAGATTCATAAGAATCTGTTTTAAATTGATAACAACTTAAGTTTGAATGCATTTTAAAGCTGTGTGTTTTTACTCTCCCCAGCCTATGTTTTATGTTTTTGTTGTCACAATTTTACATTTATCTTGTGTATCACTTGACTAATTATTGTAGTTACAGTTATTTTTACTGCTTATTCTTTAACCTTCATACTAGTTTTACAAGTGATTAATCCACTACCTTTACTATATATTTACTTTTCCAGTGAGATCTATTCTTTCATGTTTTCTTGTTACTAATTGGCACCCTTTCTTTTCAGGCTAAAATGTACATTTAACATTTCTTCTAAGGTTAGGTTAGTTTCTTCTAAGGTTAGTTAAGATGGTGAAGTCCTTTAGTTTGCTCATCTAAAAAACTAGCTCTCCTTCGATTCTAAATAATAAGTAGAGTATTCTTGGTTGGAAGATTTTTTTTTTCCTACACTTTGAATGTATCATGCCACTCCCTCTGGTCTGCAATGTTTCTGCTGAAAAATCTGTTGATAGTCTAATGGGGGTTCCTTTGTGCCTAAGAAGTTTTTCTCTTGCTGCTTTTGAGATTCCTCTCCTTGTCTTAAACTTTTGACATTTTAATTATAATATGTCTTGGTGTGGGTCATTTTGAGTTTATCTTCTTTGGAACTCTCTGGCTTCCTGGATCTGTATGTCCATTTCTTTCCCCAGGTTAGGAAAGTGTTCAGCCTTTATTTCTTCAAGAAAAAATTTCTGCACCTTTTTCTCTTCTCTTTCTGGGACCTCTATAATGCAAATGTTAGTCCATTTGATGTTGTCCTATAAATCCCTTAAGCTATGTTAACTGTTTAAAATTCTTTTTTTCTTTTTGCTGCTCTGACTGGGGAGTTCCACTATTCTGTGTTTGAGTTCACTGATCTTTTTTCTGCTTCATCTAGTTTGCTGTTGAGCCCTTGTCGTGTATTTTTCAGTTGAATTATTGTATTCTTCAGCTCTGTGACTTCTTATGTGGTACTTTCTCGTGTTTTCTATCCATTTGTTAAAGTTCTCACTGTGTTCATCCATTCTTCTCCCAAGTTGAGTGAGCATCATTCTTCTCCCAAATTGGGTGAGCATCTTTATGACCATTGCTTTGAACTCTTTATCAAGTAAATTACTTACACATTTCATTAAGGTTTTTTCCTGTTTTATCTTATTCTTTTGTTTAGAATATATTCCTCTGTTTCCTGATTTTGCTTGACTCTGTGTTTGTTTCTGTGTATTAAGCGAAACAGCTACCTCTTCCAGTCTTAAAGGAGTGGCCTTGTTTAAGAGATGAGTGTTATTGTTCAGCCTTGTCTAGCTCTTGGTAGGCTCTTGAACCTTTAAGATTCCAAGCAGCCTGTCTTATTTTTAATATAAAGCTCCCATTGTTGGGGGTGTGCCAATTTCTATCTGCCCTAAAGTGGAGGATCTCAGCACCTAAATTCAGGCTGATTGGAAGCCAGACCTTCAGGTAGCAGCTTTTGAGTATGCAAATATATATAGTACTGTGGGACCACAAGCATAAACCCTGCTAGCCACCAGACTAGGTGATCTGGAGGTGTTCCATAGATGACATTAGCAAAAATCAGGGCTCCAGACAAGTGTATATTCTCCTTTCTGGGAGATACTGGAGAGCTGGAGCAAGGCAGAGGGAGAGCACAAAGGTTGTGTCCCCCAGCCTACATTCCCTGAGAGCACCCCCCTAGGCCTCTAGATGTGTGCTAAACCTGGAAGCCTGTGCCTCAGGCAAAAGCTCCAGGACAAACATATACACCTCTTTCACAGAAAGACTAGGGGTGTGTTTCAGTCTACTGTCTGTGCAGTGGTGTTTTGGGGGTAGTAGTCTGCCAAGAACTGATTGTTATAGTCCTGAGGGACGCTGGAACACAACCCTCCCCCAGCCCCCAGATTCAGGCAATCAAGAGGCATCCTGTGGGAAGCAGCCCCCAAAACTGGGGCACCGGACATGACCAGTGCACTGACTATATGTACAAGCTCCCCTTGCAGAGATCCTGGCATTTTGGCCAGCTCCACATTTGTACCCTCTCTAGGATCAGCAAATGCTCTCAGGGTAAAATAACAGAATCATCTCTTTGGCCTTCTGTACTTGCTTCAATCCTGACTTTTTAAGTCTTCACTATCTTATAGATCTCTTGTGCCTTCAAGTAGACATGATTAATATTTTTGCCCAGCTTTTCTGATTGTCCTCAATTTTAGGGGACTGGTCTGAATTACCTCGTCTGCCATCACTGGAAGTGGAAGTTCTTTCCGTTTTATCTGTCAACACAGTGGTTAATCAGACCTAGTCAACATCTCTGATACCACAGTGGGTTAATATATATCCAGTCTTCAGCCCCCAGACCGCCGCTACTCCCTTTTCAGACCCTTGCTGGCACAAGGAGCCCAGATAGTATCTCAGTGTTGCAACATGCTGGGGCCTGGGTGTTTAGGGATCAGCTACAGTCCTATTCCCTGCCCTTATGGAGCCTGCAGTCTGTCCATTCCTTCTTAAAGCCTCCAACCCTTGTAGGCCATTATTCACTTCAACGTCAACAATCTCTCTCCCCAGCTGGTCTGTTGAGTTGCTACTGTCATGATTTCAACTGTCCTTCCCCTGAGTAAACTCTTTTCCAGACTTCTTACTGCCCTTGGGTTGGAAAGGGTCAGTCTGAGCCCAGGCATGCCCGTCTGGCCCTGTTCTCTCCAGCCTCATGGCTCATAAACCTCATACTGCAGTCCCTGAATGTGTTTTGGCACATAGTAGTTTGTCCTCCTAGACTCAGTGTCACCACCTCTGGGAGCTCTTTCCTGGTTCTCTGAGGCTGCATCAGCCTGAACAGACACTCGCTTCTCCGGGTCTGTTTCCTCGGCAGGACAAGTATTTTGAAGGCAATGTCAATGTCTTACTCATTTCAGCATCTCTAGCACATAGTACATAAGAGGTATCAGTTCAAGTGGAATGATCTCATTTCTCAAGTTCCATGTATCCCTTGATGCATTTCTTCTTCACCTGTCTCATGAATCCTTTTTCCTGGGAATTCCAGTCATTTTTCTGTCCCTTAATGGGACGCATGCCAGCCACTGGTCTGTTTGCACCCCCATCTTCCAACACACTGAGTTCACAGACCTATGGGATACCCTGACAGTGGACCACCACCTGCTGGTCAGTAGGTTTTTAGGACAGTGACAGCTCAGGGCTGCAGACAGAGTAGGGGTCCTTAATTTTAAGGCATTCCATAAAGAATGTAAAACCCTTCTAAGAATAGTATTTTCAGATCTACAATATAAAGCACATAGATTACAAGTGAAAGTCATAATGAAATATAGGTATCAAAATGTTAGAAAACATATATTGCTTATAGATGTGGTATGTATGTATATATAATGCGATACACACATCTCAATCTTACATAACAGGATCTAGTGATTGGTCTAATAACTACTGTTATTTCAAAGTGATGAACAAAAGTTTTGAGGTGTCTGCACAGAGATCTTGTGAGATGAAATCTCTGATTTCTACAGCTGACACAGTCCCAGGGACTGCTTATACTACTAGAGTTGGTTGCTTACATCCATACAGACAGGAAGTACTGAATTTCAGTTAGAGGTTAGTCAAACTAAAAACCGAATCTTTTCCCATCCAGGTACAAAGACACCCTAAATTCTACTCTCTGATCCCTTGTTGGTGATAGGGGAGGTCTGTGGACCCCAGGTTAGGAACCCCTGAATGGGGCTTCAGAGGCATGGCAGAAAAATGCATTTAAATACAGTGACTCTTAGTGTGTAATGGGCAACTGAGAGTAGGAGAGGAGGTGTGGTGGAAACAGCACCTCTAGGTCTGTTTGAATTTCATAGGCATCATTTACCAGTATTGTGAAGTTTGGCCCAACCTTCCCCTTGCTGTGTCCATTTCCTCGTCTATAAAATAGGAATGACAAGGTTTTCCTCACAGGTTGTTAAAAGGATTTAATAAGCTAACATGTAAAAACTCCTGGGGGTCAAATGTTTGATGTTAATGAGAATGTTAATGTTAAATGTCTGTAGAGCATGCGCACACGCACACACACACAAACACACACACACATAACTTCTTACAAAACAGAAACCCACCCCAAAGTCTGACTGGCTGTGTGACTCACAGAGATGGTAAACGCTTTCTCGCCTGGCAGATGTGGGTAAGTCTGCCCTGCTGTTTCCACCCCGATCTAAGAGAACAACCACAAAAGCAAAC